GCCTCGCACCGACGACCTATTCATGTCATCATTTACCCAGAATGCTTTGCATGTAAATAAAATGGCTCCGTCATGTTAAAATATATATTTAAAAATTTACAAAACTAAACAGCCTACAGTATTTTTACAGTATTTGTTTTACAGTTAAAATAAATGTTTATCAAATAAAGTTTAATGTTAAAACTAATCAGGGATCCCTTTTAAAACATTTTTATTTTATGTATTTGAAGTAATCAGATAGCACTGAATACAGTTCCTGAATGGCCTGAAAGCACATTCAGACTGCAGAGGAGGTCTGAACCCTTTTTATCTGCATACGTCAGTGTGAATATGCAGTTTAGCCAAGCTGTAGGTCCTCCTACTGATGTGACTCTCAGGTCACCTCTCAGGAGTTGGCTGGTTAAAGATAATTTTAAAAAATGAGAATATTCTGAAAAAAGTAACATCTGCATGACTCATCCTGTCTGTGTCCGCAGCGACGAGTCCCTCGTGGAGGAGAGCAGGGCGTTTGAGAGTCGCCTCCAGAGCTTGTTGCACGACACCATCCAGGAATCAGAGAGCAYTATGGAGGTTCGTGCTCCACACGCTGAGGCCCGCTGTAGCAAATGAAGTGTTTAAAACGGCGCGCTCTTCTTCCAGATGCTGAGGGAGTGGACGTGGCTGCGTGGAGACCAGAACTTCTCCAGCGACCTCTCCTGAACTCGGTGCTGTACTGCCTCTGTGTGGACGTGACGTTGAACAACAGGAGTGTGTGAACTTTTTAAGACTCCTGTTTGACTTTAAAGATGATTCTTTTACCAAACAGTTCAAATTCCAACCGTCTTTTTAATTGATTTGTTTTATTTTTGAAGTTTGGAGATGATCTTCGATTAGTTTATATCCAAATAAAAGACCAGACTTGTAGTAAAAAGAAGACATTTAGGTTGATTTAAGAAAAAAGAAGCATTGCTTTTTCAATAAACAGCTTTTGAGCCAGATGTCCAATTGGATTTCAGCCCATGAAAATGAGTTTTTCTTGTAAACTTAATGGATTCCAACAACGCTTTAGAATCGACTTTGAAAACGTTTAAAAATATTTTTTAGCTTAATATTTCCAATAAGGTACTCATGAAATCAAACATCCTGAACTGATTCAGATTGTGCAATATGCTAGTTTTACTCTGAAATGTGGGTCCACACTCAATGTAAACAAAGCACTCAGAAAGCTTATAGCATATGTTACTCCACGAGTCTGAGTATAAATTGTGCCAGTACACAAGTTCTCCATGATGGGACGTCACCGCTGACTTATTTTCAGCCACTTCGGCTGTTTTTGTTGGCAAACACATGAGGTAGTTGGCAGTTGTTCAGATTTTTGGACACATTAACCATCAATATAAGAAAAACATTATCTAGAACTGATCTTTTTGACAATCATTGCTCTGAGTACCTTTTAAATCTTGATGAATACATAAATCAGTGTGTTTCTGTACATACTGTGTGTCATACTGTTGCAGCAATAAGATGCCTTTTTTACAACGTTCACCCCTCAGGAAGTGCTGTAAATAGGTAGTATAAAGTAATGTTGTCTTGTGTYTTGTACAGATGTTCTGATGTTAGGTTTTAATAACATCAGAAAATTGATTTTTTTGACAATTTGTAAAACTAATTTTGTACCATTTTTTTAACTTGTGTAACGGGTGTTTGTTTTGATCATTTCCATTATTTCACAGGCTCGGGCTCTTTTTCTATCATTGTGTCATCAAATAAAAATAAAGCCATCCAGCTCATTGTGTTTAACATTCTTTAATCAAAATTATTTTCAGGTCCTAGCTGTTGACTACATTTGCTATACACGCACAGCATAGGTGTTAAATGTAGTGACAAAGGCTGAACAGATTCAGGGCACAAAACATGAGATGTGACGTCCTAATTATAATAATATAATCTGCTCCTTCGCTTGTGACCAAACAGACCCTGAAAATTAAACATTTAGGCAGCAGATTTCCTTTACAGTTTGATGCTGAGGTGAAACAGTGGAATCAGTCGGTCCACTCAGACTGATGCAGGTTTTATTTTTTAAAACCATCCAGCCTTTATTGCATCCTTGTCGCTGCCTCATAATGACAGCGAGCACAGAAAATATCAACTCTTCAGCCTTAAAAGCATGCATCGAAATGACATTCCTGAACAAGCATCCTGTAATAATCCTACCAGGATCTAAAATAAATCCAGAGCTTAACTTTACTGACCTGACAACCAAAACCAAACAGTGCTTCTCAGGATTTCTGGATAAACACAGAAATGTCTGAAACACACATGCTTCAACAAAAGTGCTCTTTTTCTGTTTAAAAGTAGCACAATATTAGAGACTTTATTTTTTTTCTGTAAAACATGAATACGGGTTTGCTGTGAGAACTGTACAAAGTGTAAATTATAAAACTAAGTCTTGTTTCAGGTGAATATTACAGTACTGTAGGTCTCTGATGGAGTTTCAGGTTTAAGGCCAAAGAGTGTGTGGGTGGGTATTATAGGGTAATCCCTACTATGTGGGGGTGACTTTTAGCTTACACCCCTACTTATGGGGACCAACTGGTACTTATGGGGGACCTAAGGGGGGAAAATACCATTAGTGAGTCTGTGATGGGCATAAAGATAGCTGGACTAGACCGTGTGTGTGTTTGACGTGTTGCTGAGTGGACCGTTGAAGTGTCTTCACATTTGAGCTGCTTCATCTTCCGTATCGCTTCCTCTCGTCCCGTCAGTCCCGACGGATCTCTTACGCCTCCAGCTCGAAGCCCATGCCCACCTTGTGCCCGCCGCCGTTCACGTTCTTCCCATCGATCAGGGCCGAGAGGGTGACCTTCACGCCTGCGGAGGAGAGCYTCAGGATGCGRATGTTCARWGTCAATACTCATCTGAGCAARATTACCCATTTTAACCTTAAAAATTATTCTGCTGTAATTGCACATCTGTGTTTCTTGTCWGTGCTGTGATACTTTACAGTTAATAGTCTGCTGTGATCGTTTTGCACTGAAAATAGGCAAATTCTAATTACTAATGTCAAATTCTGACAGGTCAACTAGGTCCTCTGGATGGGTTCTTCCAGAGGACCTACTTCTACTTATTATACAGGTAATTACCATCT